TCTAAAATCTTAAAACTTGAAGATCTAGTTAACCTAAACTCAATGCTAATTTTGTACAAAGCAAGACAGAATCAATTACCAATCAATATTCAACGGCAGTTTTTCGATAGAGAGGGTGGATACGATTTGCGGGGATCAAATAATTTCAAGGTGGTATGCGCCCGCACAACCCTCAAAACTCACTGCATATCCAGAAGAGGTGTTAAGCTTTGGAATGGTTTAGACGACAACTTACAGAGTGCTGCTAGTCTACTACTAATTAAAAGACAATATAAATGACTGTTATTGAGAAATATGTTGAGAATATGTGATGGAAAAGCTTCTTGGTTTTATTCTGACTATGTGTTGTGATATAAAAGAACAGTACAAAATATAAAATTGAATAACAAAATATGCATGAAAGGTTAATTAACAAAACATTTACTGTCAAAAAGTCTAACATTGTAAATAGTATAATATTGTAATGTGGGGTAGGTGCACATACGCTTCTTTGCTTCAGCCTACTCCATTTGAGCTTTGTTGTTGTAATGTTGTGAAATTTGAAAGAATACAACAAATGTAACTGCTCAATGAATGTGCTAAATAAATCATACCAATTAGCTTATTATACATTATTTTTTTATTTCACACGGTGGGCCGACGGTGGCACAGGAGTAAAGCGCTTGCCCCATATTCAGAAGGTTGCAGGTTTAAGCCCCACTCAGTTGTCACCATCATTGTGTCCTTGCGCAAGGCATTTAACCCCCCGTGCCTGATGGTGGTGGGACCGATGGTGCCCGTGCTCGGCAGCCTCGCCTCTGTCAGCGTGCCCCAGAGCAGCTGTGGTTACGTCGTAGCTCATCCTCACCAGTGTGTGAATGTGTGAATCACTGATTGTGTTGTAATGCGCCTTGAGAGGTCCCAAGACTCTAGAAGGCGCTATATCAAATACAGGCCCTTTACCATTTTTTACCACACGGAACTCAACGTATATTTAACTGGTTGGATTTAGTTTCAATTTGAATGTTGAATACAACTAACTGACTGAATTACTGAGTGATTTCTAAACCTAAAATTCAGATTCAGAAATAATGTATTATTCACCAGGGGATCACTGTTTTCAGCAAAGGGGATAAGGTAAAAATAACAACGTCTTAACAGGTTTGTATTAAATTTCCTCTGATAATTTGTCAGTGGACATAACTTGCTCTTTCAAAACATTTTTTTCCCATTTTAAATATTTAAATATAAGACCCTCATAAAGAATGGATCAACAGTAGCATTTATCTCTACATTAAGTGCAGAATTGATTGCACCACTAAGGCGGTGTCTGAAACCAGCTCAGATTCTGTTTTCCTCAGTTATAAACCATTTCTTTACAGCGATTCTCCTGCATGTTCCAAACGGAGCAGCCTTGTGAAACTACTAGATAGGAAGTCAAAAACAGCTCACAAAGACAACGGGGGGTGGGTTTGGAATGCTTTACATAAGACAAATTGATCATACATAGCAGTGCGTGTCCATATCAAAGAACAGATATTTCTTTAGTATTGAATCTCACACACAACCTTGGCATAAATGAAAGCAGCATCTCATACAGTTAGCTCAATGCAGTCTGCAGCAGGAAGATCAAAGGTTCCCTGTTACAGTAAAATGTGCGGAATAGCCACGGAGAGTTAACATCAACTTTCGTTTAAGGTTCATATGGGGCCTTGGAGTAAATTCTATTTATAATTCAATATTTCCTTTATTCCTCCCCTGATACTACCAGACTAGTAGAAAAATATATGTAGTTTGTGGATCATTTGCATTTCTAAATCCTTGTAGCAGTAGTTTTTGAGAGAGAAGGATATAAAACATGGAAACAAGAAGGCTGATGAACTGGCAAGGAGGAAAGCATAAAAAGATGCTAAGAGAAAAATATGTGTACAAAAGGAGGAAAAAAGAACTGGCCCGAGAGTAAAAATAAACATTTATAAAACTTTCAAGATTTTGAATCAGATGGACTCTGAAATTCTAAAAAAGCATGAATTGTGTTGCTTCCCACGACGGTGGCACAGGAGTCAAGTGCTCGCACCGTAATCGGAAGGTTGCAGGATCGAGCACTGCTCAGTCTGTCGCTGTCGTTGTGCCCTTGTGCAAGACACTTAACCCACCTTGCCTTCTGGTGGTGGTCGGAGGGACCGGTGGCTCCAGTGTACGGCAGCCTCACCTCTGTCAGTGCGCCCCAGGGCAGCTGTGGCTACTTTGTAGCTCATCACCACCAGCTTGTGAATGGGTGAATGACTGATCGTGTTGTAAAGTGCCTGGGGGGGGGGGTCCAGGACTCTAGAAGGTGCTATATCAAATACAGGCCATTTACCATTTCTTTACCATTCCTTCATCTGGGGAGGGGAGCTAACTGTTCAGAGAGGCAGAAATGTGCAGAAAAAGAATTATTTTAGAAATAAAACAGAAATAGAAGCGTTGGGCTGCTAAATGGATGTTTGATTTTACTATCAACCTGTCTTCCTCTCATAGTTGTATCTATATTTGTAATAAATATTGAGAAATAAAAATGTGTAATAAGATTTTTAAGCCTGTTGTCATGACACCTGTGGAGGTTATTCTTCTCTAATCTCTATTTTTTAATAAGAAAGAGTTTCAGGACTTAAATTATCTGTCATATTAAATTTTAAACCTTGTTAAAGGTGTGGAACACTGAGAAAACATTTTTAATGACCATTTCTGATTATAATCGATCACTCAGACTTTTTCATGCAGGCTGAACATGAAAATAGTCTTCTACACCTATCTTCTGCATTGGTATCTGACAGAAAATAGACGGTGAAACTCTAGGATTAGAAAAGCTACACATATCTACATCACACTGTCACTTAACATTCATGGACTCACCCATCTTGGATCACAACGGAGAAGGCTGTTGTTAGTTTAGCGCCCAGGAAACAGCAGGGAACAGCTCAACTAGTAGAAGCTAACCGTTAGCATAAGCAGCATTATTTCAGCCCAAAACCGTAACTATATCTCCATCTTCAGGTTAAAACGCTGATCCACATTTATTTAGAATCAGCTGTTGTTGAAGCTGAAAAACGTGATGTCAGCAAATTACTACATGGCTGCAATGCACTGGTCTCCAGGTGAGGCAGCCGCACCACCACCTGGCTCAACCACTCATCTGCAGATATGTCACGTTAGCGCTCTGAGCAGCTCGCCTCCTTGAAAAAAACGCCCTTTTCATCTAATGAATACCCACCTATCTGTAACTTGATCTCATGGAGAAGCGTAACTTCTCACAGTCTGCATGCTAACGATCAGTTGTTACTTTGTGTTCCGTTTGCTCGCAACGAACTAAGCAAAATGGATTACGATCACTCTGCTCCTTCTGCATGGAACAGGCTGCAGGAAAAATGCAAATTAACCAAGTTTATCTCAATGAATACATTTAAAACCAGACTGAGAGCCTCTGAGATGGATTCCCTGTGTTGGAACTGTCTTCTGTAAATTTGTACATTACATGTCTGTGTAACTGAAAAATTTAGTAACTAACTTTTGCTGCCTCTTGGCCAGGACCCCCTTGAAAATGAGGTTTTTAATCTCAATGGGACCTTCCCGGTTAAATAAAGAATAAAGAATAAATAAACTAAAAGGCATTTGTTCCTACTAGAGACCATTGCAGATGTACTGATTAAAGGAGTGTTCCACACCTTTAACTTAACAATTTGAACAAAGACAAACAGAAATAGATGGGTTTGTTTCTGATTAATGATACCACAGCAGCTCATCATACCTAATATTTCTGATCTAATCATAATTTTTTGGGGGAAGCAAGCAATTTGCAGCAGTTCGCGTTTGTGTCAACATGTGTGAACATTTCCAAATACTGTGGAGATGCGGACAGTCTCTAAGTTTTCAAATGATTCTGTTTGTGAAGCTTGTTGGGAGATTATCACATTCTTGTGTTCTTCAAAGGAAGAAGTGGGCCATCAACACTGTATACGCCACGCTGTGGTTAGTGAGATTTAACTGGCAGAACCACTTTGTCTACGTGTGTTCTGTCTACTGCTTTTTTTAATAACTTTGGGACGAGATCTGAGGGGAAATCGACAGATTTCCATCTGTCTGCTTCATTTGCAAAAAAAACAGCTCTTCTTAGGATTCAAATATATGCTTTAGCCACCTCTCTTCCCCTCCCTCTAGCTTCTATTTCTCCATCCCCATCCAAGTGGCATCTGTGGATGACCAGGGCATCAAGAGTCTCATGGGCTGGTGGAGGAAAAGCAGAAGCAGGAGGAAGGAAAAAAAAGAGGAGAAGAGGCAGAGAAAAAGAAAAAGGCAGCAAGCGCCTCTCATTTCATATTTCCCTAGCACCACCCCGGCGTGCCAGCCAGCCTGCAGTCTGTTCTCCTTTGAGCTTTCTATTCTACCACTGAACAGGGAAAAAAAAATCAATTCATATTTCCATAATCCACACTCCTGTCTGTCTGCATGTCTTCGCCTCTCCCCCCTCCTCCCTCCATCCCACTCCATCTCTCCCCCCTCTCCCCTGGGGAAGACTAACCCTTCCACCTCGATCCTACGGCCTACAAATGTCATTACGCAGCGCAACAATAACGGCCTAAACAAAAGGAGGCCTTGCTCTGAGCCCCTCTGCAGAGACTGTTGGCTGCTGCTGCCATATGCTGGCCAACTCAGGCCACAGAAGACAGAGACTGTGGCCAGAGGACTCCAGCCTTCAGCCCCACAAAGGAGGAAAAGAGCCTTAATCCTGGTAATGAGGCCCGTGAATACCGCCTTTATGTATATGGGGGAAAGGGCCAATCCCTTTGTACACAGCACGCTAACTAGCCATCTCAAGGGCCATCTTATCCACACAAACGATCTGGCCGACAACTGACTGAAAGAAAAGTCTACTTGCGGGGGGGGGGAGCCGTGTTGATGAGACATGATGACGAGGAGGGATGGAGCCCATGTAAACAATATTATTACAGTATCTGTTTATCTACGTCTGTAGAGCTCTTCACCTCTTACTCTGGTTGTTGTGGGGCAGGTAGACACCGCCTGCAGCATCTTCATACAAGTCTGTTTATTCCTCAAAGTGGATCAGAGAAGCAGGAGGGCTGTTTAAACTCTGCAGCCAGGCTGTTGTGTTCAAGTGTAGTAAGCCTAGCCTACACACAGAAAACCAATCTTTTTATTTTCTCTCTTCACGTTTTTTCTTCTTTCAGTCGACGAGATGCTCAAGTCACCCTTGCAGTGTTTATTACCGGACCTTCTGGGTGGAGATCAGAGCACGCTTGGGTTGTCTTCTGTCATCTGTTGGACTTAGGTTGACTACAGGTGGGAAAAAAAATCTCATTCTTAAAAAGAAGCTGCAGAGCAGGACTTCATCACATGCTGGCATGACAACAGGAAAATCATTCAACCTCACATGTTTACACAGTTACGTGTATACATGTAAATACTCAGATTAATAAAGCCTGGGAGATCATTTTGATCAAACTGTTTTACTCTGAAGGTGAAGCCAGAGAGGTAAAACAAAAAAAAAAAAAGAGGCCCCCTGCTGAGGCGGTGGATCTTTCTTTGGGCGGGGGAAAAACAAGCCTTTTAAACAAAACCCCATCAAATTAAATGTGCTCACTGTCCCCTTGAGACAGCTGATAACATCTGTGACTGGCATGAAGGATAATTTAGCTTTTGGGTCCAACTTTGTAGTCTAGCCCATCACTTTTATCAATGATGATAACTTGATATTCACAAAGTTAACTGCACTCAAAACAAGTCACATGGGGCCTCGCAGGCAAGCTCTGAAACAATAATCCGGAAGAGAAAACTCCGGGCTGGAAACCGGGGATGCACACGTTGAATTTTTCATCTCCTCACATCGACTCCGGTCCACCCTCACCGACACCGAGCTGCGTCACGGCACCATTGGTACAGTTTTCTTTGATTTAAGGAAAAACCTTAATTTAATTATTAAAGGCAATATTTGCATGTGAGATTGATTCAATGTTTGTCAACAAATGATGACTTATTACATTTAATGAATGCAAGAATTTCATTAGTTTTCTTATCAGTTTGTGATTAAATGTTAATCTTATGTGTCTTTAATGAAAAAAAAATGAAAAAAGCTTTCTAATTCTTACCTAAACGTAGCCTTCATCCAGATAAATGCTTTAATTATCAATATTTTTGGGAAATTTCTGGGAAATTTTAATATTTTTCTATTAGATACATTGATAAACTTCTCCAAATCTGAGACTAATTGAGTTTTTATTTATTTCCAAAACAGATTTGGTGGCAGAAATATCAAAGAAATTCAAGTAAAATGTTAAAGAGTTGAATGAAAATGTTTTCATTTGTGTTATAAACAGTTCTATGCATTCAGGGTCACTTACCTTTTAATCTATCAGTACAATCTTGGAGACAATAAGTGCAAAACTGCTTTCACACTGACAGAGAATTAAATACTATTATAAATGTGAGACAAAAGGAGTAAGAGCGAGTGGGACAACGAGGAAAAAAAGAGGAAAAGATGGAAGTATAGGGAAAAACCGTATGCATTCCTGTCACGGTTGCACAATAATTACTTATTCGTCGTTTATTGAAGACCTGCTCACTGCTTTTCATTACCAACAACAGAGTGAGAAGGGGAGAGACGGAGAGGAGGAGGAAGCACAGAGGAATCACCTAAAGGAGAATAGTGGTGGTGAAAGGTGCTGGGGGAGGTTACCACAGGAAGGCAGGGTGAGCTAGGGCGTGAGGAAGAGGAAGGGAGATGGGAGAGGTTGTCTGTAACTGAGAACGAACGAGAGATTTGGAGAAAGTGGAGAGAAAAAGCGAAGTGTGTTCCAACCTGGTCTGTGTGGTCCTGGGGGAAGCTCCACAGCACGGTTGGATCTAGAGGTAATTGACAGACAGCATTAATCAGCGGGTGAGAAACACACCGTCTTCGCTAGCTGCCTCAGATCACATACATATTAATGAGAGGGGTGGGGGCAAGGGTGGCTGCTGCACGTCTGTGCACACGCACACACATACACACACACGTGCTGCACACACACACACACGCACACACAGAGCAGCTCACAGTGAAAGACAAGAGAGAGTATCTACTCTATGCGTGCTGTAAATATGCAAATCTATACTCTCAGTGTAGATATGATAGCTCGTATTATACACCCAATCATGCACACTGAAGAACGTCTCAGTAACACACACTTGAGTTTATTTGCTTAATTATTCCAACACTGATACACGCTGTACTGTTTAGCTGAAGAGATGTAAAAATGAAAAAGAGTACTTATAATTAAGTTTATGAATTCTGTTTTCAATAAACAATCAAATAATGTTCAAAACAGGACATTTCTAACTACAGATAAAGTAATTAACCGTTTTCAGTCAATCTTTTAGTGTTGTGAGTGTCAATACACAAACCTATCATACAAAGGGTGTTTGAATAGAAAAATATATGATCAAAATGTTGTGAGAATGTAGCCGACTGGGGATCAGACCTCATAAGAAAGCCCATAACAGGAGTGTGGATTATGACCACATTTTCCAGATATCAGGACCATATCAGCTGCTATTATGCTAGAATGCTATTCTCATGTCCTGAAAGTGCAGAATAAATCCAACATTAATTGGTTTTATTTATCAATCAGACAAAATGGCATTTATCAGCTTCAAACGAGCTTCACCTCTAGTAACTTTTAAATGGAAATGGGAAACTTTCATGTAGTCATCAGCCTTTGAATAGATGTGCCACCTCCTGCACTGTAACTGCTCACCCTTTAACTTAATCAGAAATTAATTAGTGTATTTAATTTGGTCTAAATTTATTTGTGTAGGCTATTTTAACTGTGCTATCACTAGAGCTTGGATAATAATCACTTAATCGTATGATGGATGAAAATGAAGTCCGTTTTTCCAGCCTCTGTATTTTGTGGTGAAGAAACGTGCAACTCTATTATTATTTATTATCATAACTGAAGTGAAGTTTTGGTAGTTGACACTGGATAGGCCATTGTATTTATTGTTTTGAAGAGATGGGGTCTATTTTATTGTTTTTGGTGCAATATTTCAAACAGAGTGAGTCCTTTCTTATTTTATGAAATTTTTTATTTTATTTTATTTTTTAGAAGTTCAGGTTCTGGATATTCCAATGTTAATTAAACGTTTCCTAGCATTATTTGGTACATTAACAATACATAAGTGGTTATTTTGGTCTCGATAATGTCGACAATAATATAGTTTACCGTCGATAATTTGTTGGACAATATATCATCCGGCAAAATTTGTCATCTCCCCAGGCCTAGCGGTCACGTTATTTTAATGTTTGTGCTATTCTCGCTAACGGAAAGCACACAGAACTGCCTCTGTGTATGAAATGTGCTATGTAAATAAAGCTGCCTTGTCATTAATCTAAAACCAATTAGAAAAGAAAAAAAACTAGTAACAACAAATCCACAACTGTGTTGTAGGAACACTGAATATGAATCACAGGACACAGCTTGGGTCTGAACATGTGGGTTATCTGGTAAACACGACTTCCACAGCTCCAAGTCTGTTCTGTGACCCTGCAGGAACAGCAAGGGTCTAAGAGACCAGCTTTTTCGTGCCAAGTTCACAGTCACAGACGTGCAGAAGGTCCACAGGCCTACTAACACTCCCCCTCACCTCTAAATAAACTAAGAGGTGTTTGTTTACCATTATGGCTAAAGCACCAGCTGTGTAAACAAACGCTGTAAACAACCAGGATCGTCGTGTCTCCTCATGTTTGACTCTAGTCTGAGTAAAATGATCCACAGCATCACGTCAACACGGATGAGGTCTGAGGAAATTACCACTCTTTTAGTAAAAGACCACATGAGTCCTGCACAATGTAAAGAATGGTGTCATGGCTGACAAGCCTGCATGTCGTTCAGAGGTATGAACACAATGGAAACGCACACGACAGCACAGCAGAGCCCACGATGCGTTACCTAATCCTATTGGCTGATTTCATGGGCCTCATCCTGAAAAGAGATGAAACCCGGCAGAACTCAATGATCGGAGCGAGCCTCGTGCTCCTGCCTGATGATCTGTGAGAGGATGAGAAGTCCAGCTGATGGTGAATGAGACAAGACAGATGATGGAGATCCGTTATGCTAAATGAAAATTGTGTTAATCGAGGGTGGAGTCCCACCAATTTCATCTCTACATATTCAGGATCGCTGATGGACGACGAGTCAGACTGAATTAGTGACCAAACTCTTAATATTTCATTTTTCAATATCAGCATTAATGGTGAGCTCACGGTTTAGAGTAATTACCACGACCTGGCCGGAGTTACACACTCTGACAAATGACTGGCAGACTGGTTGGAAACTTGTGGGGGAAATGACCTGTGTGTATATTCTAATGCAGAAAAAAGCGCATTCATCTGTGTGAACATAATGGTCAAGGTCATCGAGGTCAAGGTTCTTCTATTTACATTCAAGTCACTAGCAGGGACTGCGCCGAATTATCCATCATCACTACTGCAGAAACACGCCCCCTCAAGATCACTGCCAAAAACCTACTGGTTGTTCCACAAACCAAGCGTAAAAGTCGCAGAGATCGAGCTTTTACCACTTTTGCCCCAAAATTGTGGAAAGCCCTTCCACTGGAATTAAGATTCACCACTTCACCTGAGGCTTTTAAAGCTAAATTGAAAATGCACTACAGACTCACAGGTAGGCATCCTTTCTTATTGTTTTAACCGATTGTGTCAAATGGCCTTGTGATGTTATCTAGGATTTTATTGCTTTGGTACTTCACATGAATTCATGTGTAGTACTTTTACTTTTTATGGGGTATTCATTATTATTTTAATGTTTGTTGTTTTTACACTGCTGTGTTCAGCGCTCTGAGTTGCCTTGATTGGCGGCAGGAAGGCGCTCTACAAACAAATAAATGAATGAATGAAATGAACGTTAAACACTTTTAAAAAATCTTCATAGAACCTAAATCTAATTAAAACATATCTATGAAGGTGAAATAACTCATCATGTTGCATGAATTATTTTGAAGGAATACATTTTTGACTTTTGTTTGAACTAAAACCAAATCATAGCTGCTAATCGTCATGAGCGTGATATACTATGATTAGAAGGTAAAGTGAGGATGAAAATAAAGAGGTTGGACGAGTTCTGGAGAAGTGAAGCTCAGTATCTGAGTATCTCAATATCTGAACCGCTCAGTGAGTGGGATCTGTTTTAAAGGGGCAGAAAAAGTAACAGGTTTGTCTTTTTTAAGGGTTTTTCAGTCTGTTGTTACTTCAGACATCCACATCTGTGTCATGAAACATGTCCCCTTTTACACCCCAGCACCCTCTTCTCCTGCTGCTGGGATATAAAAGAACTTTGAAGCTTTAACAAAAAGCTTTTTTTAACGTTCTCAAATTCTCTCATTTCAGTCATGCAGCTCTTTCATTTCCTTATGCCTTCTGTTCCATCGTTCATACTCACTTATTGTTCCCACCATCTTGTCCTTCACATATTGTTTGTTTGTTTTTTTGCCATCCCCCACTTCTGCCTCATTTAAGGCCCGTCTCATCTCTTCTCTCCTTCATGCATATCTTATTTTTACTCTTGTTCTTCTGCCTTCCCCTGCAGCTTTCTGTTCTCTTTGCTGTTGCACTCCTCTCCATATTTTTCCCCCATTGCTTACATTTGTACATGCCTTCCTCTGGACATGCTGGGTGTGGGGAGGATGCAAAAGGTAGCCTGAAGGGGGTTAAGGCTGAAAGTTGAAGGTTACAGAGGGGAAGAGAACCCCCGCTGCTCTGCCAGGGGACACAAATGTCACCATGACAGATCCTGCATTGGTTAATCCACCCTCCCCTCCTTCAAAAATACACATGCACATTGGACACACAGTATGAGCTTCATTAAATATTTAATTTAGAATTTAGCAACACTCAAGTTGGCTACCAACTCTGCAGACAATGCTTGGGAAAATCCTTATTCAGTTTGAACGTGAAAATGGTGTGTTCACTTCTTTGTGATTATTTTTGAAACTCTGAGACTTCTTTGGATCTTTAAAAACATTGCTTGGGAATTTTACACAGCTTGTATAAATGTTTTAACTCGCTCAAAATAGTTATAACACACTGTGTGTGGGGCAGAAAGTAGGAATTACACACCCAGGGGCTCAGAAGTCGGACCAGGTGGTGGGCATAAATCTAAAATCTAACACCAAAGAAATTCTACATTTTATCTGCCCTATATGAAGGGCTTTGCTTAAAGACACATCAGCATTAATTTATTATAATTCTAAAAAAATAAATAAATAATTTCTTTGCTCTTCAGCTTCCTCTGACTCCCGTTTTAGCACAAATCTGCCACACACACGCACACATACACACACAAGCAAACACTCACACACATACTGGTACGCTGCATAAGAAATTTATTTATAAAAAACTAAAAAAAATTAGTCTGCCTCTCTTTCACCGACTTCCATCAAAGCCACAAATGCAAAGAACTGATTGTGTGTCTACTGCAGTCGGCTAAATCCATAAAGAGCTGCAGCAAACTGCATAAAACAGCTCAGTGTGGGTGATACCAGTGGCAGCTTGACTGACAGCGTAAAAACAACCTATAGCACATGTCACCCCGGTGGGGCGTAAACAGATCCAACGGGTGAGAATTGAATTGAAATCACATATCGAGCGTTAGATTCCTCCATTAACACCCAAGTAAATAGAAGAGGGCAAATGTGCTGAAAAGCTCTTGGAGTGACCGCTGCTCTGTTTGCAGTGTGTGTGTGTGTGTGTGTGTGTGTGTGCGTGCGTGCGTGCGTGCGTGTGTGCGTGTGTGTGTGTGTGTGTGTACAGCATGAGTAGATGTGTGTTTACAGATGGATAGCAAGCTCAG